GCTGTAGATAACGGGAAGATTGTTTATCGTAGAGAAGGTGGTAAGTTATTTGTATGTGATTGATTTAGCTATGTTGTTGCAAGGATGTTCAGTGGCTAATAAGTTTAGTTACTTTTGCTTGTGATTATGCAGGAAATTGTAAGATGTCTCGTTTGGTTTTGGGATCAAAAGTTGACAATGTAGAAGTAGATGATGATGGTAGTTCTTCCATTAAAAGCATGGATTCTGGTCTGGAGAATTGTGATGGTTTCGAAAAGATTAGCTCCGGGGCTAGAAGAAGTACCTTGATAAAGAGGTATTTTGGCTGTGGACCCATCTCTGCTTGGGCAGATTATGCCTGTGATGAAATGCTGCAGGAGTCGTGTACAGTCGATAGAGAGGATAAATCAATGGCTTTGGTGCCATATCAAGCAGCCAATGCCTCTTCTGATCCAAAGTATGTTGTTAATCAAGAATTAAATGAGTTAAAACCTGGTTGGCAGTTGGTTCGACGGGTGTTTTTACCCAGGCATCATGAGACAGAAAAGGTTCCAAGCCGGAAAACATCCCTTGTGCGCCGAGTTTTGAGAATTCCCGGGAAACATTCTTCAATGGCGGTTCACCCTGATAGAAAGAGACGTGAGTTTGCTCAAATGGATGATCATTCATCTGATTTGAGTGCTGAAAGTGGTGCAATTGTTCCAGTTGGTGATGCTGTAGCCTCTGTTCCTTCCTCCCCTATTAACGGATTTAAGTATCTGGTCAAGGAACTGGAAGGAGTTCTTGAGAAATACTCATCCACTTGTAGATTGTTTGCATACCAAGAACTTGTGTCAGCCACATCAAATTTTGCACCTGGTATGTTCTTTCCTCCTGTTTCTTTAATTTTGTGGCCTTTTGGTAGTTGGATGTTGCTTTTCTTATAATTCTGCTGCTCATTTTGCAGAGAACATGGTTGGAAAAGGTGGTAGTAGCCAGGTTTACCGAGGGTGTCTTTCTGATGGGAAGGAGCTTGCTGTAAAAATATTGAAGCCATCAGAGGATGCGTTGCAGGAGTTCATTGCTGAAATCGAGATCATTACAACGATCAATTACAAGAACATCATAACCCTGGTTGGATTCTGCTTCGACGAAGTGAATTTAATCCTGGTCTATGATTTCTTGTCAAGAGGAAGCTTAGAAGAGAATCTTCATGGTATGCTGGAGCATTCGGTTTCCTTTTATTTGAATGTTGAATGGGCTGACTTTTGTTGCCTAACTGAGACGTTATATTGTATAATAGGTAATGAGACTAAAGCTGGAGCATTTGGCTGGGAAGAGAGATACAAGGTTGCAGTAGGGGTGGCAGAGGCATTGGACTACATACACAACAGAGATTCGCAAACTGTGATTCACCGGGATGTTAAATCTTCAAATATTCTCCTTTCTGATGAATTTGAGCCCCAGGTGTGCTACAAATCAAGATTTAGTTTTGAATGCACTTTGAAGTTGTTTATATCAATTTAATAAGTGGTATCTGTTCTGTATCTTACATATCTCTGGTATGGTTACTAACACTTGTTTTGATTTGGTATTTCAGCTTGCAGATTTTGGACTTGCTACGTGGGCTTCACGTGCATCTTCGTACTTGACTTCCTCAGATGTTGCAGGAACCTTTGGGTGGGTAACTTCATAATTTCTAGTCTTCCTTCTCCCCAAATTCCTCGCCTGAAATTTCTAAACATCTAAACTGAGCAATGCTCCTTGCAATTTCTCCTGTGGCAGGTACCTGGCCCCAGAATATTTCATGCATGGCAAGGTGACTGATAAGATGGACGTTTATTCATTTGGTGTTGTACTTCTTGAGCTTCTTTCAGGAAGAAAGCCAATAGATAGCAGCAATCCAAAGGGCAAGGAGAGCCTCGTCATTTGGGTATGTCTCTTATCAATTACACTAGATTGTCTCTTTGAAGCTTTATTCATGAGCGCTCCTCATTATGTGAATGCCAATCTACAATATGTGCAGGCAAACTCAAAATTAAAAGATGAGAAGATGTCTCAGTTGCTAGATACTAGATTAGGCAGCGATTATGACCATGAGCAGATTGAAAGAATGGTCTTGACTGCTACCCTTTGCATAAGACGTGAACCTCAAACACGACCCCGTATAGGCAATGTAAGTCATCTCTCCTGTAGTAGAAGGCCTAGAAGCTCTACTAATGTTGCCCTATTTATGCTTGTAAAATTCAACTAACTTGTGCATTATTTTCAGGTTTTGAAGTTGCTCCAAGGTGACATTGAAGTAATAAACTGGGCAAAGCAACAAGTGAGTAACTACCCTGAAGAATTTGAGGTTTTGGATGGTGAGACACCGCGCTCTGATATTCAATCCCATCTGAATGTGGCTTTACTTGATATAATCGAAGATGATGCTGCCTCTGTTAGTAGTACTGAGCCAAACATTTCCCTGGAGGATTACCTGAAAGGGAGATGGAGCCGCACTTCAAGTTTTGATTAACTTTAATTTATCTTAGAATGTCGATCTTGACAGGGCAGGAGGAACAAATTTTCTGTGTCTGTTCAGTGTTAATTCTCTCTCTGTATAGCTATCTTCTTTTTATTCCCTTTGTGATGTGCTAGGCTTTGGACGAGAGGATGTGTGCGCAAGTGATTTTGCCCTCCTCCTGGTCTAGTTCTCATCCCAAGTTCACATTTGAATGTTAATTAAAGCATCGAAGTTAACCCCCCTGAAAAAAAAAATGAAAAAGAATAACTCAATACAAGGTGCATTTGTGTGCATGCTTGTATAGGAGCTGCATAAATCTTTGTATCTAATTGCATGCTCCACCAAATTATCTGTGGTAATTATAATTGTGACATTAAATAGATGACTGCATGATTTCTTCTCTATATCCTCCAATCTCTACTGGCTGAAAATGGTGCCTTTTGTGTGTGTGTTTCGTTACTCGTATTAGTTACCATAACTATTGTTTTATGTAATACACGAGAAATTATTCACCCATATCCGATATTGCCGATATTACCAAAACAATCTTATGAATGATTATTGGACAAGATCCATTATATTGGATGTGTTTGTAAAGAAAAACAATATAATTTAGTAAAGTGTCAAATTCTGAGTGACAATATTTGACAATCGACAGTTTTTCTTTAGAAAGGGTGTTTTTCATGTTTGGATTGTTAAACTAACTGTAGGAGTCACATGGCTTGCCATTTACCTGGAATCTGGAATCGGGCAAGGTATAATGCACAGCTATGCAAGAAATGTCGTTTGTGTTCAATTATTGGGTGTCTTAAGTTTTGGGTCACCTTAACTCCATAAGTCTCTCTCACGTCTGAACCTCGTCAATAAAATGATTCTGTTTATTGCACGGATTTTGTCTATCATCAGATTCAACACTAATCTACGAGTCTACGACTACCCCTTCGTTCCAATATAATTAACTCGGTTAAATTAGACATATTTGTTCATATGCTAGTTTGACCTTAAGTAGAAATAATTTAAAACTTCATACAAAGTGTGTATTGTTAAAAAATATATATATAAAATATATAATGAAACTTTGTATTAATATGACATTTGCTTTTAATTTGTTACTAAAAAGCTATAGTTAAAGTTAACATATAAATTGTGAAAAATCCAACGTGTGTCAATTATTAGGGGACATGAGTCCATAAGGAGTATATACTTATATTGCATTTCCTAAGATGCATGCACTATATCGATGAGATTTTTCGACACCAGGTTCATAAACCTTTAAACTTTGTCAGATTTCATATTTTAGCTTTTGGTGATGTACAATCACAAACTTTATTGGATTCAAAATGAAAAGTCCCCAAGACACTTCCAGAGGCCATTTGGATGATTGAATTATCCACTTTGCCGGTATTCTACCCATTTATAACCTGTGCCTTTAGTTGATCAATCGAAGAGTGATATGGGCCTTTATATGTTCGACTTATGGTCATGTGTGGTTCTAAACAAAAATATATGACATCGGGATACATCTCTTACATAAGATAATCCTGAAATTTTCGACATTGGGTCCCATGACCTCCTAAATTAGTCCAATTTCGTGTATATTTAGTTTTGGAGAATTTTGGACATTTGTCCGAATCTTGAACCACAATATTCAAAGAGTTAAACTGGCTTGGTCCAAATAATGGTCATATGTGGTTCCACACAGTATTATATGATCCGAGATGCATCCCCTATAATCTTGAGATCGAGACTCCTCCGAACTAAAAAAGAAATAAGGTCAAGACTCTTTCCACAAAGGTGGATTATAGCCTAGGTAAGTTTGAACTTTTCTAGACTCACTAAAAAATGAGGTCGAGACTGTTTCCATGGACCCCACAACACCCCGAGAGGCTATTTGGATGGTTAAAACCATCTACTTTGCTTTTATATCGTTAATTTACCCATTTACTACATAAATAACGCAAGACCACTGCATGTCTTTATATGATCGACTAGTGGTCATATATGGTTCCAAAACATTACTACATCCGGTCCAAATTACTTGCAACTTTGGGGTATTATTTGTGAGATATAAAATATTCTAAAGTTGCGAGTATTTGGACCGGCGGTAGTACAAGACATTGGAATGCATCTTTATGAGATTTTTCGACATCTGGTTGCAAAACCTAGAAATTGGTTTGATTTTGTGCATTAACCTTTTGGTGGACAAATTAAAATTATTTTGAACCCCTATATTAAAGATAAGTGGTCATTTTTTTTTTTCATGGGCCTCACGACACCTCAGGTTGCTAGCCTTTATGTGATCCTTTCATCGGCTAAAAACCAACCTTTATGTGATCGATTAATACGCATGATACTCCATTAATTATGTTGTGGTTGATATGTATGTCACTTAAGCTAAGTTTATCAAGCTAATTTATGAGAATCGATCTCAGGATCATATAAAATCGAAATAGTAATTCTAACCACTTCAACGTCTTTCATTCTCCCTCTCATCTTTATCAAGGATATAAATTGGGACAAACTCTTTTTTTAACTACGGATGTTCCTCTTGAAAAAAACGTTGGAGGTAGTTAATTGAATGGCGTTCGTTGATATTAATTAGATCCGACGGTTAACAAAATTCCGTATATGCGTGCAATTAATCTTGAATTTTCAACGTTTTCATTTTTTGTTCACCTTTGAAGCTTTTCGCTTTTATGCTTCACTCAATCACTCCTACCTCCATTTCCATTGATGCGCGAACTCTAAATTCTCCATTGAAGCAGCTTCTGAGCTTTTTCTCCTCCATTGAAGCAGCTTCTAAGGTACAATTTTCTTTTGTTAATTCATTTTCAAACTATCGAATCAGTCAATTTCATAATCTAGGGTTTATCGTTCATTCCATTTTTAATAGTCAATTTAGGGTTCTAAAGTTGATCATTGAACTTTTGTTTATAAATGAAGTTTTGTATAATTATATCGACCGATTTTATTGCTAGAATTTGCTAATTGAAGAAAAAATTCAGCCTTCACTTCATCTTCTTCTTGGACATTTTGATACTTGTAAAAATTTATCTTAATTAAATCATTACTCTTCACAAAAACTTCTAATTTTTCTTCAATTTGATGCACTGCAATCTATAATAAACTTATAAACATTAGCATAGATTTTCTTTCAATTTTCGAATAATAATTTTCATACCTTCGTATTGATAGTTTTAATATCAAATTAGTGAATACAATAATTATAAAGATACTTTTATTGCTGTTTTTAATAACAATGCTTACAGGATTTTTTTTTTTTTTTTTTTTTTTTTTTTTTTTTTTTTTTTTTTTTTTTTTTGGGAATGGATACATTGGTATTAGATCATTCGAGTAAATTTCTGGGGTTTTGATTTGCTGGGAATGCAAACTGCTTTTTTCGTAAGAATAAACTTGGCTGTCAAACTAATACAGGAATAGGATTTAAAATTGAAAATGGATGGTTGAGATTAAAAAGTCATCCTACATTGATATGCTTAAGCTAGAAGAATTTTAGGTGATTTTTCGAGCTTGATTTGATGATAAATGAGTCAAATTACTTGCTAATGTGTTGCATTAATGGACTTTACAAGCGGAACTGAGCTCGGACCTGATTACGAGTAGAGTCGGCTTGAAGGGTTGTAAATATTTGGAGCCTAATTTGATAATTGAGTCAAATTTGGTTGCTATTGCGTTGCAGGCTGTAATGTATAACCCTTAATTGTAGGATGGAACTATGAATTGGACCTCTTTACACTGGCCGCCCCTCTTGCCCTGGCTCAGCGACACTTGGGCACTTTCTTGTATCGGGCACTTCTTGCTAAGTCCGAGTAGCATAGATTGTGGTTTGTAGGATACCTGTTGCATACTTTCTTTATGTTGTAGTTGATCTGGTTTTTCATGATTGTGATTATTTATTTCAGTTCGCTATTTTTTGAACTCGAAATCATGGTCTTTGGAGTGTGCTATTTTTGAATCAAATATCATTAGTTGTTGTTTCAGCTTTGACTGAAAATGGGTACAGAACAAAAGGCAGAAGGCACTGAACAAACCGATGGTGGTAATCCAGCAGTTGGCATTGTGAGAAAAGTTGAAGCAAAGTATCATGAGCTAAAGAAGCATGCAGAAACTTACCCTTATGTGTGGGGATCATATGCAGTTGTCTATGGTGGATTTGGGCTTTGGTTTGCATACAGATGGAGGAGGCTCCGGAAGACTGAGGATAGAGTCCGAGTTCTTCAAGAGCGTTTGCGTCAACTTGCTCAAGCCGAGGAGTCTGGTAGTACCAGTTCTTCTGCATCCACTAAAGTGGATAAATCAGTCAAGGAGTCTGTTGGTACCAGTTCTAGTGCATCCACTCAAGTGGATAAACCACCCCAATAAGCGTTGGGTTGCTTATAATCTGCTAGCAGAGTAGTTTTGGGGCTTGAATCTATCTTGATAGCTATGCCTTGGCTGAATTAGGAGGTAAAGAAGACAATTTTTTTTGGATGAGTATTAGATTTATTTATTTAACTTAAAGATAGTATGTAAACACAGGTCCAAATCTCACTTATATGACATTTTTTGCTGATCATTTGGAATGTTGAATGGCTGTAAAGCTCACCAATAATTTGCTCGGTGACTGCCAGTTTTGCTAGTAGTTAACACGAATGATTGGATTGATTTTGGCATTGGTGCCTTGACAAGAGTAATGAATTTATAATGTATTTTGCAAGGTTGATAGTTGGCTTTTTGGTCGCCCATGAGCTTTTAGTTTGGCAATGATTAAAATTTGTCAGCCGAGTAATATGAATGCAGAGGATAAGTTAATGTGATAGGGCATCTGTCTCGTGTGTTCTCTGGGGGATGCTCAATCTACTGACTGCACTCTGATCGATTACAGCCAGTGTCTGAGACAGAGCCTTGACACATTTTGGTATCCTGATATTGTCGGCCTGTGGTAGCAACGTGCAGCAAGTGTTTTTTGGCCTGCGGTAGCAACGTGCAGCTAGTGTTTATTGGTCTGTGGTAGCAATTTGCAGCCGGTGTCCGAGGGTAGGAGCTTATAATTATTGTTGAGGACTCCGAATTCTGAAGCATCTCTTACAACCAGATAGAATGGAACGAAATTGTTGCATAGCAAAGCAAATCAAACAAATGGATAGTAACACAAATTTGCAAGCAAAGTGTTGCCAACTTTCCCTAACTATAACTTCTCTCGAGTCCCACACTTGAAGATGGTTGGAGTGGGTTTGGAGTGTGCCATATGTCAACCCAACTTTATTGATTGCAATCCATCACATGTAAAGAAGTTAGCAAATTATTGAAACTTCTTAAAAAGAATGTTTATAATTATCCAAAATATGAGTGTTCAATGTTGAGGGACAATTTCAAACGATAAAACAATTTAATTTCACCTTCCTTTTCACACAAGTCATTAAGTCACACTATTTTCATGTGAGATTTCGTCTTTTAAAAAAAAAAATCCAAAAGTTTATATTTTTTGACAAAAGAGCTAGAAAAGAAAACTAAAACTGAAAATATAACAACTGCCTACGACGAGCACACCCAGCCAACCAGTGAGCTGGTGAAACCCAATCCCGAGGAACTTTCCGAATCTGACACACTAAAAGGGAACGAACAACATCTCGCAAATCTTGAATGAGCCACCAAACCGAAATGTCTAACGATTCTTGAGATGAGAGAAATGAAAGGACAGCAGCACAATCCGTATGAATCCGGATCTTCAAAAAACCCTTGCGCACTGCAGACTGAACCCCTCATAAACAGGCTTGTAACTCAGAATGTAAAGCAGAACTCGCCATAAAAACCTGACTTCCACCACTCAAGACCTCCGAAGAGCAAAGGTCACGAATAACCCAGCCTGCCCCTGCTCTATTAGTAGAACTATCCCAAGCCCCATCCACAATCAAACAAGTTGTTGGGAAAATATTAGGTAACCCCTGCAAGCAAAACCACGAGACAACCGACAAACCCAAACCAGCTGCCGAATGAGAACAAACCGAAGAGTTCTTCAGCTCCTGAGCCTGAACACACCGATAATACCAATCCTTGGCTAGACTCTCAATTGTGCCAGGCGACCAAACAGCTTGCCTGAACCTCAGCTAGTTCCGAGAAAGCCAAATTGCCCACAAAAATCCAAAAGTTGTCTTGGTATGTTTATCAAGCAAAACATATCTTATTTTTAGTCAACATTTTCTTTTTATACTCGTTCATTATACAAAAATTAGGTAATGATAGGAAAGTAAGGGGCTTGGATTGCTTGGATAGTTGGATGTAGTACTAACCAAAAATGTTATGAACCTATAAAATGTGAAATTGTATCAAAGCAAATTTATAATAAATCGTTGATGATTTTATAGTTGCATGCTCGCTTAAAAATTTTAAAGTGACTTGACCTTCATACTATTTATTTGATATACGTAATATTTTCAATGTCTTTCATGTACAACAAGCACACATGTGACACATGCCATGATGCCAATCAAATATAGTACCGAGTAGCACCTAATTTGAAAAAGGATGGAGTAGTTAAACATTTAGGAAATCTAGTTGGATTGTAAACTTAGCTTGTAATTAAAAGTTCTTTATCCTTCTTCTCAAACTAAAAAAAAAGTTCTTCTTCCTTGATCCTTCCTTGTTCCTAATATGACCATTGACTAGACCAATAATACCAATCACCAAATACGTGGACGTTGAACTAGTCACACATTTGCACATGTTATGATCTATAATTATAAGATAAAATATACAAGTAATATAATAAAGTACATATATTTTGGGGGGCAGTTGAGTAATACTAATATAAAGCTGATGTGTTGTTAAAAATTATGGTTATTTTATCAACACATGCACGTAATTTGTAGGTGCCTTGTACGAGTCAAATTGGCGGCTATCTTATTATCTTAGTTTTCATCTTCACCCCTTTGGCCCTTTCCTATATATACATGAAAATCTTACCTTTTTTTTTGTAGAACAAATTTTCAAACTATATTTTATAAAACCACAAATTTCATTTCTATCTATATTCTAATATTCATAAGTTTAATTTTTTGAAGTTAAGGCAACAATATTTGAGATGTCTCCTATTGACATGTTGATCAATTTGGGCTTGTTTTTGGCGGTTCAAGCTTTAGTATATTTGATTCTTACAAATTCATCAAATGTTTTTTCTAAGAACAAGAATTTGAGGTCGTTTAGCTTCAAGAGAACTCGATCTAGCAGTGTTCGTAATCTTCTTTCGCTTATTTCGGATATGCCTTCTGTGTCTACACCAAGAGACCAAGGACTACGATCGCCCATCACTCCAAGGGTTGAAGATCAACTTGAGGCTTTCAATAATTAGAGGCTAGATTAAAGAAGATGAAATATTGATGATTTGTTGTTGTTTAAAATTGATTTATTTATTTATTCATTTGCTTGTTTTTATTTTGGGTAATCTAGAAAATTAGGTTGGGATGGGGCCTAGCCCTTTCTTTGTCATTTTGTATTAATTATGATGTATGGGTACATATTCAGTATATAAATTGTGAAAATTCTTATAATATATGGATACTTTTACTATTTTTTTTTTTAAATAAAAACTTAACTACTTTGTATGTGTTTATTAGTGATTTTTGCAATATTTGATTATCTTCTCATAGTAGAAAGTGACAAGGTCCAAATTAAAACTACCGTAATTAAAAGATGACTTTGCTACCCTGAGTTAAGATAAACTTTGTCTTTGTCATGTTTGCTAAATTTGGGTATATCCGAAATTCTGAATGTGTTACACCAAATTAAATATTAAATATTACCAATTGGTCTTGTATGGACCCGGTCTACAATAAATTATTGTAGACCCAAAATTTGACACTTTCAAATAATATAATCACATTGTGGATGATATAATCACTTTTTTAGATGATATAATTATCTTTTTGTGAGTCATATTTTGATCTCATATTAAACCATTTAATGAAATTATATAATTATCTTTAGGATGATAAAATTTAAAAATCATCTTTTGAATGATGTAATTTACTATTTGATACTTTTTATAATGATAAATTCACTTTTTGAGTGATACATTTACATAATAGTTTCAAGATGACATAATCACTTTTGTAATAATATAATCACATTTCGTATGATATAATCACATTCGTATGGTACACTAGAATGTTGGGTCTACAACCAAGCATGTTCCGGTGGTGCCGCACCCACTCCTAATGCAACCATTGGAGGAACCTTTGACCAAGAAGTGCAACCGGAGGCATTCCTACACCCGCACCTACACCCTCTTCCACACCCACACCCACACCCACACCCACACCCTCACCCGCACCCGCACCCTCACCTTAACCGCCCCTTGATCCCGGGATGGAAGAGTTCATTGCCACCATTGGCTGATTTACCACCAATATTCCCACCATTGCCACCATTGCCTGCTGGCATTGGTTGCAAGAATGAAGTCGGAAATTATCTTATCAATCACAAACAAGGTTCCTTGAGTGATGAATGTTGTTCGTTACTCGAAAACAGCCCGAGTCCCTTAGTCAAGAACATCTACAACCAAGCATGCTCCGGTGGTGCTGCATCTCCTCCTAGTGCTTAAGAAACTTTATTAGTAGTACGTGATTAGCGTTACAATAGTTTTATTATTATCTTATATAATGCAATAATAGTCATTAGGAACTTTTTAGAATAAAATAAATGTGGTAATCACATATTTTAGATAATATGTACTGGTAGTTCTCTGTAGGGATATTAGCAGTACGTATAGGATTCAATTCATTGTTTTTATGATTTTTGTTCTCATTAATAAAGTTTATTTATGAAAGTTTTATTAGTTCATATAATTATTATTTTTATATGCTGTTTTTATTTTTTATTATTTTTTTATTTTTATTTTTATTTTTATTTTATTTTATTTTTTTACAATTTTTTAAACAAGTGATGGCATATTCAAGAAATTAATCCCATTGTTCCTAATTGATGATAGTCCTATCTTAAATCCTTGGAGATTTCTTTGCGTATAAAATTTAATAATTTTTTTGATAAATATATACAATATCAAAATTTAATTATGTATAAAATTCAAATCTTGTTAATCAAAATTCAGTTTCACAACATGTTATTTTTAGATGGTTCAACTTTAAGATGTGCATAAAACAAATAAGCTAGGCATTGAAATAGAAACCGGCGAGCAGTAAAAAAAAAAAAAAAAATCAAAATTCCAAGCTCTCATATTTGAACAATTACAGTTCCTTTTTAATTTTGATCACTTGATCTAAGAAAGAAATCTTTTAAAGATTGTAAATTCTTTGTTTTCATTGGATAAAGTTCTAAATATTTTAACATAAAAGATTAGATATAGTCGATTACTTTGAGACGTACTCATAAATAATCGTACATGAAGATTACGTAGTACATACAAATATAAAGTACTCGTACAATACAATAGATCCGTTCTCACACTTAATTAATTACCTGGTGTTGACCATTTCTGTATATAAGTTGACCATTTCTAGCTAGGTTGACTTCAATAATGTCCATGATACATCATACATGCTGTTTGGGTCCAATTTAGTCCAAATGGGCTTAGGCATTAAATGATCCAATTAAAAGCCCAAGGTCAAGGTTCATCTCTCCAATTGTGCTAAAGTCAAAGATCAGTCCTCAAGGCAAGCCAATGGGGCTAAGGCCCAACTTCTCCATGTATGCAGAGGTATAAAAGCCATCAATATTACATTTGTACATTCATGCAAGCAAAGCCTCAAGCAATTAATTCTCTTGCATAGTGTTCTCTCTTTACGCACTGTACTGACTTTAGCATCGGAGGGGCCTTCCTCGGCAACACCCCCGAGGCTAGTTTACGTGTGTTTACTGTGCAGGAAACCTTCGGCCCAACATTACTTGGATCGAATCTAGTCTTCTCCACTTCATCGGACCTTCGACGAGGTCCCATTGTTTTCACCCGAAACAATTTGGCGCCGTCTGTGGGGAAGACTTTCAAAAATCTTTAAGCCAAATTTCTAACCAAGATCATCTTGCAATTATCTTAGTAGCAATGGCTAAGAACCGCAAGAGCAAAGGCCTCCGTCAAGGAGCGGGCGAAAAGCCTAAAACCCCTACACCATCACCCTCGCCGGACCGGAACTCTCCCAAGGGTGCCAGCTCGGGGGGAGGATCATACAGGGAGGATTCCCTTTCTCCCGTAATTCATAACTCTCATCATAGGCCGAGTCACTCTCGGTCTAGCAGGGGTGAGTCCGATCATAGGACACATTCAGTGCCCCAAAGCCAACCATCGACTGTGCGCCCTCATTCCCATACTCGGCCGAGGACCCCTTTGACGGGGCCCAGCTCGGAGGAGGTGGCAAGAGCGCTGGCGGTGCTCATGGAGGCGATGAGGGCACAAAATATGCCACCACCTCGTGATCGAACTCCTCCGCATACCCGGCATCAACGGAGGAAGCTAGACCATGATGGTGGGAAGCTTCCTTCCTTCCGGGAACTGGAAGAGTGGGAAGAGGATACCTGGAAAAATGAAAAAGAGAGGAAAAAGAACCCTCAATTTTATAAAGGACCCTCATCCTCCCGACCAGAAACGCATAAGAGCAGCAGCTCAGCTTCTCGGCCAGAATCTACTCACCGAGAACCTGAGACTGTTCGCCGAAGCGTCCTCGACCGACTCGGCAGCAAGGAACCGAGCGTGCACAGTCGCCTCTCGTTCCCTGCGGCCGAGGCCCAGACTTCCCAGCCAGGGACGAAAACCACTCTTACCTCTCTAAGAGGGCGGAGCGCGGTCCCTTCGGCCAGGAACAAGGGCAAGGCCGTTATGCTACCCGCCAGTTCGCCATTCGAGCAATGGATACTGGAAGAGCACGTGCCCATGGTTAAAATACCGTCGCACATCACATATGACGGGACCTCGGATCCGAAGGACCACGTGGCCTCGTATGAGACTCATATGCATCTTTGCCCCAGATCCGAAGCGACTTGGTGCAAATATTTCCCAACCACTCTCAAGGGGGTCGCGCAAGCGTGGATCTCCAAGGGAGTAAAGCAAGGCTCTATAACAGGGTGGGATGATCTGTCCTCCAAATTTAGGAGCAAGTTTTCCACGGCAAACCGCCGAGAGAAGACTACTGCAGAACTCATGAGTCTACAACAGGGGGAAACCGAAAGCCTCCGAGACTATCTGACCCGTTTCAGTAAAGAGTCATCTAGCGTCTCTCAGCTGGACCAGGGGCTAGCCGTTTTTGCAATGCAGAATGGCCTTCAGCCCGGGAAGTTCCTAGACTTCATGGTCATGCATACCCCGCAGACCTTGGAGGAAGCTCTGAATGCCTCGGATAAGTTCATCCGAGCCGAAGAATGGAACAAAGCGAAAACCCAACCTCAATTCGGGGGAGGGAAACAAAGACAAATACCCTTGTCTGAAGGCCAAGGCCATAAGGCAAAGGGAAAGTCAAAGGCCTCGGAGCAATATTCGGCCAGCGACCCAAAGAAGGAAAAATCTGCCTCATACACAGGCAGATACGAGTCCTACACTCCGCTCTCTCTTCCACGCGCCAAAATTTACAGCGTGACGAAGGAGGAGCAGTGTTACCGAAAGCCGAGACCACTCCCAGAGTGGTATCAGCGAAAAAATAAAAATCAGTGGTGCGAGTTCCACGAGTCTCCGGGACACAACACTGAGGAGTGTATCCAACTGAAGGACCAGATAGAGGACATGGTCCGGAAGGGATACTTGAAAAAATACATCGCGGATCACCGCGGGAAAAAAGAGTCCGAGAAGTCAGCAAAGGACTCTCGGCAAAACCTCGACTTCCCCCGGAAGAACAGTAAAAAGCCGGAGGGGAAATTCTCTCCGATCAATGTTATCTCAGGAGGAATATGCTCTCGGAGGGAGCACAAGCGACACCTTTGGGCTTTGACTCACCAGGTGAACAACGCTGACATTCAGTCTCCCCAATCGCCGGTGCCGAACATGACGTTCACAGCCGCCGACTGCCGGGGGATAACGTTCCCTCACGAGGATCCGTTGGTGATCATCGCCACGGTGGCCAACCACGACGTCAGTAAGGTCCTTGTTGACGGTGGCAGCGGAGCAAACATTCTGTTCCGAAAGGCCTACAATCAAATCAAGTTGAAGCCCAAGCACCTTACGCCGGTACCCTACCCGGTATCCGGGTTCAACGGGGCTTCAACTTATCCAGATGGGAAGGTGACACTTCCTATCACCATCGGCTGCGATGAGGCAGCCAGGAACGTCATGATTGAATTTTTGGTCATTGACGCTCCTTCAGTGTACAACGTGATTTTGGGGAGACCCATTATTCATGAGATCCAAGGGTCGTCTCAACTTATCATCAGCTGATGATTTACGTCTCAGACGCCGGCTTCCCCGAAAGGATACAGGGCAACCAAAGGGACGCCCGAAGGTGCAACTACCTCAAGCCATCCAGTAGTCGCCCAGATGACGACAAAGATGAGGAGGAGAAAGAAAAAGAAAGAGAGCCAAGCACAAAAAAGCCGAAAGGCCTAAGTGCTTCAGCCCAAGGATCTGTACCCAGA